GTTCTTCCCCGTGAGGGTGGGTGGGCACTGACCAGGCTCCCCAGGGCAGTGGGCACAGCACCAAGGCTGCCAGAGCTCCAGGAGGGTTTGGATGCTCCTGTAGGGCACAGGGTGGGATTTTGGGGTGTCCTGTGCAGGGCTGAGGGTTGGACTGGATGATCCCTCCCAGCTCAGCGTACCCTGTGAAATGAAAAAGAGCCTCCTCCTCCTCCTCCCCCGTCCCTCTCCCTCAGCCTCTCGCACTCAGCAAGGCCAAGTCGGGTGCTCCAACCCCCAAACCCCCAAACCCTCACCCCACCCTTTGCCCTCCCTGCAGGAGACTATTGGATCGACCCCAACCAGGGCTGCACCTTGGACGCCATCAAAGTCTTCTGCAACATGGAGACGGGCGAGACCTGCGTGTACCCCAACCCCAGCAGCATCCCCAGGAAGAACTGGTGGACCAGCAAGGCCAAAGAGAAGAAGCACGTCTGGTTTGCAGAGACCATCAACGGCGGTTTCCACGTGAGTGTCCCCCCGGGGCTGGGGGTGGAGGTCGAGCAGGGGGGTGGAGGTCGAGCAGGGGGGTGGAGGTCGAGCAGGGGGTGCCCAGTTGGAGGGTTGGGGTGTCCTTCCTTGGGGTGAAGCTGACGGGTGTCACACGAGGCACTGGCTGACCCAGAGCACTGCACTGAAAGCTTGGGGTGGGGGCAGTTGGGATGGGATGTCTGCAGCCACCCGAGGAGGCAAATTACGGGAGGCCCCTCGAAACGGCGCCGCTGCAACACCCTCAAGGGCTCCAATGTCCCTCCTCCCCCCCTCCAGTTCAGCTACGGTGACGAAGACCTGGCCCCCAACACCGCCAACATCCAGATGACCTTCCTGCGCCTCCTGTCCACCGAGGGCTCCCAGAACGTCACCTACCACTGCAAGAACAGCGTGGCCTACATGGACGAGGACGCGGGCAACCTGAAGAAAGCCCTGCTCATCCAGGGCTCCAACGACGTGGAGATCCGCGCCGAGGGCAACAGCAGGTTCACCTACAGCGTCCTGGAGGACGGATGCACGGTGAGCCCGCGCCAGGGCCGGGGTGGGAGCTCCAGGCTCAGGCAGAGGTGGTAGAAAGCAAAGCCTCGCCGGGGAGTCTCGAGGCACGGGCAGGAATCCCTTCTCAGGGAGGGATCTCGGTGCAGCTAAACCCAGCCTTAGCCCCGGGGTCGTGTGAGTGGTTTAAATTGAAGGAGTTTGGAGGTTGTGGTGGAGCCGCTTTTGTCCCGTGGGTTTTAAGGCTTTTTTTTTTTTTTTTTCTAAAAGTGAGTGATTTGTTTTATACGAATGATCAGACAGAAGATCTCAGACAGAACTATTCACCACACCATATAAACACTAAAAATCTCTACTAGTAGAGTATAATACAGTATAATGTAGTAGAGTATAATAGAGAGTATAATATTATACCTTGCTAGTAGAGTACAATATGAGGTAGTACAGTGCACTGTAACAAAGCAATTGTTGAAGCAGTCATATTAAAGCTGGAAAAAAGAAATAATTATTAAGTAGAGGTCTGACCCAGACCAAGGGAGATCTCTGCTCTCAACCCTGAGGAGTGACCCTGCAGGGCGTCCCCAGCCAAGGGAGGAACCTCCACACATCCACCCCAAAAGGGTTATGTCAGAGGAACCTGACTGGGCTTTTCTAGGATAAAGTGGTTGACTGCCAGTCACACCTTTCCAGGCCAGCCACCGGTTTATCTGTCAAACCAGACTTCAAAAAGCAGGGTGTGTATTCAAATTGATGAACCAGGGTGATTTTAGCATAATTAACACCAAGACAACACCCTGACTCCAGCAGCTGATTGGATTTTAGGTCTTCTCGGGGCGGGTCTATCCTGCCACAAAGATGATGATGATGATGATGATGAGTTGGAGGGGGTCAACCTGGAGGTTTGGGGGGGGAGTTTGGGGGTGTCTAATAACACCTTTGCTCTGGGTCTCCCCAGAAACACACCGGCAAGTGGGGCAAGACGGTCATCGAGTACCGGTCGCAGAAGACCTCGCGCCTGCCCATCGTGGACATTGCACCTATGGACATTGGGGGAGCCGAGCAGGAGTTTGGCGTAGACATCGGCCCAGTCTGCTTCTTGTAAAAACAAACAAAACCACAAAAAGAGGATTGTTTTATCTGTGCGTTCGTTCGTCGGTTGCCGTTGCGTTGTGGTGTTTTGTTTTGGGCTGTTTTTTTTTTTTTTGGGGGGGGGGGAGAGTTTGTGTTTTGTTTCGTTCTGGTTTGGTTTTTTTTTTTTTTTTTTTTTTAAATCCAGCCCGACGCCGTAAAACTGTAAAGAAAAAAAAAAAAACAAAGAGAAGACCCAACAAACTGAACCCACCCCAAAGGAACCTGAGGAACTTCTCAATCTTCTCTCTCTCTCTGTCTCGTACGACTTCTGCACTGAAGGGCTGCAACGACCCCCCCTCGACTCACGCCCGTCCACCGGGGACCACCCACCTCATGCCTGGGCAGGCTGCGAAATCAAACCAATATTTATTTATTCTCTTCCTGTAAGACCTATTTTTTGAAGGTCAGGTGGAGGTGGGAATGTAACCGACCCTTCCCTGCCGAAGGGATGTCGCCAATCCAGGTAGCACGAATCCCCTCCCGTCCCCGTTTCCCTCCGTGTATCACCAGCAGGAGTGTTTTAATTGTATGATAACGACACAAAAAGGAAAAAAAAAGAAAAAAAAACAAACAAAAAATGGTGCTATTCTTGTAAAACAAGTCTGTATTTTTTAACATCAGTTGATATAAAAAAAAAAAAAAATACAAAAAAAAAAAAAACAACTTTTGGTGGAAAGTACAAAGTGGAGCCGGGGTTTTGTTTTCGGTGTGTTTGCTGCGTCCGATCTCCTCCCTCCCCCTTTCTCAGCCTGGATAAAGGAAGGTCTGAAAGAACCATGAAACGGTTCAGGTGGGAAAAAAGAACCTTTAAGATCCTCATTCAATGCTCCAACTTTTCTGGGTTGGGGCTACTTCACATTAAGGGGGGGGGGGAACCCAAAAAACCAAAAATAAATCACCCAAAAAAAAAAAAAAAAAAAAAAAAAAGGGGGAGAGAAAAAGAAAACCAAGTTAAGGGGAAAAAAAAAAATCTTGAAACCCCAGGAGGCAACACAACACCCCCAAGGTTCCACCATGGGACTTCCTGCCCCACTGCACCCCTGAGCTCAGAATATCCTGGGACTCTGTCACAGAACTGGGGCCACCAGTTAAAACCAGTAAAAGCTGAGGGGAGCAAATCAGTCTGACCGGGGGGAGGGGGGGGGGGGCTCCTGCCCACTCTCCCCACAGGTTTTTGTCCCGTTTTTGTGGGTGCAAAACCTCCCAATTTGGGGGCTATTTTGCAGTCTCGGAAGTGGGAGAGTCCGGGGCCGTCGCCTGCGGCTTTTAGGGCTTCATAAAAAGTCACCTCTGTAAATCCCTCTCCTGCTCAGGCTGCTAATTAGGAGGAAAAGTCTCAGAAGTGGAGGTTTTTTTTTTTTTTTAAGCTGTGTTGGAGAAAAGTCAGCCCAGTGACCCCGAGGAGTTACAAACCTGCAGGACGGAAGGGGCAGCTCCGGACCGGGCAGTTCAGGAGTTTCAGGACGGTCCTTTTGGTTAAAAACTCAGATTTTTTTTGTGTGTGTTTCCGTTGGTGGCGTGTGGGAGCTGCGAGGATTTCGGTTAGAGAAATTACGACTTCAAAAGGATTTTAAAAAAAAAAAAAAAAAAAAAAAAAAAAAGCTCCCATTTCGGGGCCCTGATCTGGGTTTGAAACACAAACCCAGCCGGGAGCTGCTCCCAGAGCACCTGAGGCAGCTTCCGCAGGGCTGGGATCCTTCAAAAACGTTGGCAGGGGAAATTCATTAAGGGGGATTGGAGGATTAAGGAGGATTTTCAAAATAAAATGGCCCTTTTAAAGGCCAAGTGCTTCGCCACATGACCCGGGGGGGGCTCCCCTAATGATGGCAGCTCTGGCTGCCGGCCCTCACCCAACTAATTCGGGGTCAAACCCTTCTCCTGCTCAGCCAAGCAGCAAGTTTGGGGGTCCTGCTGAGGGGGAACAGCCCCAAAATCACCCAGGCTGCTTCTAGGATGTGAGCATGAGGAGCGGGAGAAGGTGGGTTTGGGCTGTGGCTGAAGTGGGAGGAAGGTGGGAAAAGCAAGGAGACCCTGAGCAAGGCAGGACTGAGCCCAGCCAGGCTTCCAGGAGCAGGGGGGAATGAGAGGGATAAAAAGCAAAGCTTGTGATTCCTTCGTTTTCCTCACAAAATAAAACAACTCATCACAAATCGAGGGGTTTCCAGAATTCGGGGGGGAGAAGCTCATGGGTGAGGTGACCAGAGAGGGAGGGTGGGGCCACAATTCCAGCTGGGAATGGGTGGGTGGCTTTGTGTCTCCCTGGCTGAGTTTCTTTGCCTTCATTCCCCCAAAACCTTGGGCTCATCCCCAGAGAGTCCACAAAGGTGGTCAGAGGGATGGAGCAGCTCTGGTGTGAGGAGAGGCTGGGAGAATTGGGATTGTTCAGCCTGGAGAAGAAAAGGCTCCAGGGAGAGCTTGGAGCCCCTTCCAGAACCTAAAGGGGCTCCAGGAGAGCTGGAGAGGGATTTGAGACAAGGGATGGAGGGACAGGACACAGGGAATGGCTTCATACTGGAAAAGGGGAGATTTAGGTGGGATATTGAGAAGGAATTTCTCCCTGGGAGGGTTGGGAGGCCCTGGAATGGGTTTCCCAGAGGGTGCCCCATCCCTGGAAGTGTCCAAGGCCAGGTTGGAGCCACCTGGGATAGTGGGAGGTGTCCCTGTCCATGGCAGGGGGTGGAAATCAAGACGAGCTTTAAGCTCTCTCCTAACCCAGGCCATTCTGGGATTCTGTGAAAAAAAAACCAACAGTGAAAGAACAGGTATTTCTGGGCAAAAAGACAAGAGAGCAGTCACAGCTCTGGGACAAAGCCAGACCTTCTCCTCAAACAAAGGACAGCACAGGGTAACATCCAACTCAGGTTTAATCAGCACAACTCAGCTCCACTAGGCAGAGATCTCACTGCTTAAAGAAGAAAGCAAGGTGTGTTTTCATGTCCCGGTCACACAAAAATCGAGCATCCCTCTCTGAAAAGGGGCCTGATCTGCTCCCACACCCCCCGGGCGGGCAGACAAAGGGGCAGGGCACGAACGGGGGCAGCTCCCGGCGATCGAATTCCAGCGAAAACTCCCGAGGGACGAAACTCTCCGGGCTGCGAGTCCCCAGCAGGGCTGCGGGGGCAGAGCTGCCACATCGATTTGCTCTCGGGAGGCAGCTGATAGCGACCGTCAGGAATGCGCCGCTCCCGGCAGGGAAGCCTTGGAAGCCCAGACTCCCACAAAAATCGGTTTAAATCCCTGTTTGCCTGCGGTGGAGCACAAGTACAAAGCAACACACCGAGCTGCACATGCCCTGGTTTCAAACCCCTGCAGGGGGGGAGGAAGGATCAGAGGAGGAGGAGGAGGAGGAGGCGAGTCCAACACAGACCCTCACAAAGGCAGGCGGTGCTCGGGGGTTTCTCAGCTGCCAGCAAACCAAAACCACCGTGGTTCCAAAGGTTTTGATTCTTTTGCCTCCTTTTAGTGCCCGTGGCAGAGGCAGAAGCTTTCCCTGCACGTCCCTAAGTGTGAAGTGTCCCTTGGGATCCAGGCCTGCTCCGACACACCCCAGTGACACGCTGCCACTGAGCAAGGAAGGCAATAAACCCACTGCAAGAGAACCTGGAACACCCAGCAGTGCCAAGCTTCCAAACAGGTGCAAAACACTCGAAATCTCTGGGATTTCAGAGCCTGAAGTTTCCCTGAAGTCCAGTTTCCCTACCCAAAAAAAAAGCTGTTTCTCCAGAAGCGAAGGGAAGGCTTCGTGGAGGGACCCGTGTCCTGCACACGGAGGGTTTCGTGGGCACATGGAAGGGCTCAAAAGGCACCCAGAGCTTCCAAGTGCCTCCCACCAGGGTCACTGCTGCCAGTTAAAGGTGTCTGTGCCCTTCTAGAAGTCCCAGCCGTGCCTTCAGGCTGCCCCAGGTGCCAGGGGGTCCGTGGAGTTGGAGCTGCAGTCCACGTACCGGTACCGCTCCACGGAGCTCTGGGTCGTGTGTCCCACGTAGGAGAACTTCACCGAGCTCCTGGCAGGGGCAAGAGCAGTTCAGAGCAGGTTTAAACTCATCACAACAACTCCTCTTTCCCCTCCCCTCCCCCTAAAAAACCTGCAGAACCCCTCAAGGTTTTCCTGGCTGTGGTGGGCAGGGATGTGCAGGGGTGGAAGTGCAGCCTCTGGAGCGCAGGAGAGCTCGGCACACGGAGGGAATTGTCCTCCCTATCCCACATTTCACCCACTGTGTCAACTGGCCTGGATTAACTGAGGCAAGGCTGGGGTGTTTGCCAAGCAGGATTTTCTCTTTGCACCCCAGACCTGCTGTGGCAGCAGTTCCCTTTGGAGTTCAGGAGCCAGGAAGGTTGGGAAGAGAGCTCCAAGCAGGGGGAGCGCAGAGAACCACCTACCTCATGAAGACCACGATGTTATGGACCTTCACCTTGGGGTATGTGCAGAAGGAACTGGAAGACACCAAAGAAGTGGGTCAGCAGTGGGTTTCTCAGCAGCCAATAATGAGTTATAACTATTTTTTATAATTATATTTACAGTTATTATTACCACAATAATTTCTCATTGGTGTTGACTCAAAACCACATCACAACACCCTGACAAAGGGCATTTCAAGTGATTTTTTTTTTTAGCAAACAGCTGCTTTCCAGGAAGTCAGTAGAAAAACCGGGTCCTTTTCAAACCCCAGGTTACTTTGCAAACTGTAATAAAGGCACCTTCAACCCCGCTCTCTTCCCCAGCCCCATACAAGGAGTAGCAAATCCTTACTACACGTAGGAGAAGGCTCCACCCAGCTCTGCCTTCACAGTAAAATTCACCTGTAACAGATAAAAGATCATTTATGTGCAGCTCGAGCACTCCTTCAATCCCCCTGGTTTTTGGGGGGGATTTCCCACTTGCTGATGCCTTTGGGGCCGCCCTGGCCAGGAGATGTTGGGCTGAGCAGAGCTCTGGGGGGCAGCTCAGTGCTCGCTCGTGGTGGTGGCCCAGGTTTCCCCCTTGACCTTGGGGGACAGGAATTACCAGTTTGTCACTCAGGGGCGGGATGCTGGAGACGTTGGTGACCTGCTGGGTGCCCACCACCGTGTTCATGTACTGCACCTGGCTGGTCAGGCTGGCCACTGCCACCGAGTAGAAGTTGGAGTTCCTGATCCTTAAGGTGGCCTGAAGGGAGAGGAGGAGGAGATGTGGACAGCAGGGACCTTCCCGGCGGCTCAGCTCCAAGTCTGCTCCCCCCCAGGACACACAGACCCGTGGAAAACTTTACCGTGATGGCCAGAAGGACAGCGGAGTTCTTCCTGTCAAACCACACCCGAACCACTTTGATCCCATCATCCTCCACCAGCACCGAGTGTGGGAAGAGGAAGAAAACCACCAGCCCGGAGACCAGGAGGCAGAGCAGCACCGAGAGCAGGACGTAGAGCTTCCTGGGAAAAGGCAGGGAAGGGCTCACCTGCCGTGCCCTTCCGTGACACTCTGGATCTGACAAGCACCCACCACCTCGGCACAGACACAGAATTCCTGCTCTGACGTTTTTCGGTACCTGAATTGCTCCAAAACCCACCCCTCTCTTTTTAAGCAGTTTATTTTCTGGCACTGAGTAACCACGGTTTGTGCCCCCCCCCCGTTTCCCAGCTGGGGGGTTTTGCAGATGCTCTAAAGAAGCTTCAGTGAGTAGGATCGTTGTTCCCACACTCACCCCACAGTGGGATTTCACGGGAAGGATTCAAAGTTACACCTTCAAACCGTGTTTGTTGGCGTGTGGGGATGAAAACACCCCGCCAACGTGAAGGAGAAGCTGCAGACGGGGGTGAAGGGTTTAGTTGCAGCAGTAAATGATATAAAAAGAGCCCTGTTTGTAAACACTCCCTCTGTGAACTCACGTTCTCTGGGGACGAAGCCGTTGGTCGCTGTAGGGGATCAGAGCCACCAACTCATTCACCTGCTCTGGGAAGCAAAAGGGAAGCAAAGGGAAGCATTATCCCATCCCACAGGTCAAATAAATGACATTTTGATGAACGATTGTATACAGAAATGTATCATTTAGAATAAAAACGATGTAATAAATCATTTTAAACAAGCCCAGAGAGGAGCAGTCACCTGTGGGGATGCAGCCAGTGCCTTGGCAAGTGGGACAGGTGATGCTGTCCTGGCCTGTGAATTCCACGTAGGGGAACTCGGCAATGTCTTCCACACGGTCCTGGCTGTCGAGTAAATCGTCATCCTCCTCCTCAGCTGCCTTCCTCTGCCTCGGGGCAGCGCTGCCGGCGGGGAGGGAAAGCACAGAACCCATGGCAGCTGCTGGGGGAGGGTCCCTTCACCTGGACACAGAGACAGCAGGAGCGATTCGGGTCAATAAATGGGTTTTTAACTTGCTTGTGGCCAAGGAGAGCACACCCTGAACCACAGTCCTCCAACAGCCTCACACAGAGACCCCCCCCGGGGGTGCAACACCCACCGCAAAGAGCCTGCCTCTGTCCCCAGGGGGGTCCACAGAGCCCTGGAAAAAGGGACACCCCACCCCGGGACATCCCACCCCGGGACATCCCACCCAGGGGGCTCATTCCCAGGCCCTCAATGCAGGGACACCCCCCCAAAACCCAACGGGCTCCACAGACACACCTACAGCCCCCAGGACCCCCAAAGGAGAGGCAAAATCCCCCTCCCCAGACAGCAGCATCTTCGCAGACACACACCCCCCCAAAATAAGAGGTACCAGGCCCGCCGACACCCCCAGAAACCCTCAGAGACCCCCAGACCCCATGACAGGGCTACCGACCCCCGGGAACCCCCCGGGACCCCCCTGGGACGAGAAACACCCCCAGGGACCCCCAGACGGGAACAGTCCCTGGTACCGACCCCTGGAACCCCACTGGGACCAGAAACACCCCAGGGACCCTCAGACCCCACGAGAGGAACCGTCCCCGGTCCCGACCCTCGGGAGTCCCCTGGGACCCCCCCCAGGACTAGAAACACCCCCAGGGACCCCCAGACAGGAACCATACCCGGTACCGACCCCTGGGAGCCCGCTGGGACCAGAAACATCCCCAGAGACCCCCAGACCCCAGGACAGGGCTATCGACCCCCGGGACCCCCCCGGGACCCCCCCAGACCCCAGGACAGGCCCCGTCCCCGGTCCCGACCCCCGGGACCCCCCCGGAACGTCCCCTCAGGTCCCTCCGCCAGAGGGCGCCCCCCACACACACCCCGCGCGCGCCCCGGCCGCCGCCACAGCCTCGCTCCCGCGCGCAGCCGCCGTCGCTATGACAACGGCGCGATGCGCCGGGGGGGCGGAGCCACCCCCGCCCCCTCCTCCGAGCCAAGCGCAGGCGCACAGCGCGCGGGGCGGGGTGGGCGCGGTTCCTCAGACCGCACCCGCCTGGCAGTCGCCACGCCCTCTTTCCGGAATGGGCGGGGTTTTGCGAGCCCCGCCTGGGCGTGGTGCTCCTCTAACGCGCACGCGCCGATTACTGGGGGGCGGTGCCCTCGCCACCATCCCTGGGGCGCGGCTGGGAGGCGTGTCCATTGCTGCGCGTGCGCGAAACCCACGCGGGGTCCCCGAGGGCGGGGCGGGGCGTGTCTTGGGGCGCATGCGCAAAGCAGGCTGTGCCCTTCCCGGCTGCGCATGCGCAAGGGCAGAGGGATAGGGCGGGGCCAGGGCTCGAAAGAGGCGGGGGCATTGTGCGGGGGCGGGCCCAGGACGTTAGGGCGGGGCCAGGGCGCGGGGGGCGTGGCTTGTCCCAGTGCGGAGGTGCTGGGACCAGTAAGGGGCCAGTACGTGACCCACCCGCACCAGTACGGGTGTACCGGGACCAGTATGGGACCGGCCCGGCCCAGTACAAGGGTCCCTGGACCAGTACGGGACCAGTATAGGACTGGCCTGGCCCAGTATTGGGAGGGCTGGCCCCCAGTGTGGAGCCCCCACAGCCCAGTTTGAAGGACCCTGTGCCAGTATGAGCCATCCCACACCAGTATCGGGACCCCACCCCACCAGTTTGAGGGCACTCCTCCCAGTATGGAGCATCCCCACACCAGCTCCCACAGGGAAAAACTACGGAAAACCCCCAATTCCCCCTGAATTCCCCCAAAACAGCCCTATGGGGTCCCTGCCCTGTGCAGGCAGTGCCTGATCTTTGCTCCATCTCCCTCCTCAACTCTCCTGACATTTTTATTTCCTATTTTTCCCAGTTTTTTGGCCGGTTTGGGGGGAATAAAATTCCAGCCAGCCTTTTCCTCCTATCCCCAATAGCTCCAGGAGAGGAACAAATAACCCCCCCACACCTGGGCCAACATTTCTTTCCTAAATCCTCTCCGGGGGGGTGTTTTCCCGCCTCAGCAGATGGGAGAACGTAGTGGAAAACTGAATTCCTTCCCCTCACAATCACCCGAACCATCAAAATCAAGTTTCAATGAATGAAATATTTCAATTAAATGTTTCCAGAGGCATCGGAGCTGCTCTCCAATGGAAACTTTTTACAGATCATTTATTCTCTCCTTCCCAGGAGCAAAGTGCCAGGGGAGGGGAGGAATTCCTGGCTCACCTTCCCTGCGGGAATTGGGAGTGTTGTGGGCTCTGGAATGTCGGTGCATCCCAAGGAAGGGGCTGGGGGCAGGATTGCTCCCTTTCCAGAGCTGTTTCCCCCCTTACCCCCCCAAAAATCCAGTGGGGACGAGTGGAAAGGGGGGAACAAACACCTACTTGCCCTCCTCTCCCCCCTCCAGTGGGATTGTGCAGCCACTTCCAAGGAAACCCGTTCACCAGGATGGAGCCAGTGTTGGATCATCGCCAGGAGAGCCCTTGGGGGGAGCGGGATGGGGGGCTGTGTTTGGGCTCCCCAAAATGTTGTGTTTGGGCTTTTGGGGGGCTTTCTTTTCCCTTGTCTTTGTGTCCCTCAGGGATACCTGACACCCCCTTCCCCCGGGGCAGGGAGCTGGAGTGGGATCATGGAATCAATCATGGAATCATGGAATCCCAGGCAGGGACACCTCCCACTATCCCAGGGGGATCCAACCCGGCCTTGGACACTTCCAGGGATGGGGCACCCTCTGGGAAATCCATTCCAGGGCCTCCCCACCCTCACAGGGAGGAATTTCTTCCCAAAATCCCACCTAAGTCTCCCCTTTCCCAGCTGGAAGCCCCTCGTCCCAGCCCTCCTTGTCCAAAGTCCCTCTTGGAGCCCCCAGGGAAGGAAAACAGCCTGGAAAGGTCCTTCCAACCCAAACTGTTCCATGATCTCATGGAAATAAACAGGTGGGAATGCAGGAAAAGCTGCTCCAACCTGGAATAATTGAGGGGAACACCATGGAATCATGGAATGGTTTGAGTTGGAAGGCACCATTCCATCCCTGCCGTGGGCAGGGACACCTCCCACTATCCCAGGGGGATCCAGCCTGGCCTTGGACACTTCCAGGGATCCAGGGGCAGCCACAGCTCCTCTGGGAAATCCATTCCAGGGTCTCCCCACCCTCACAGGGAGGAATTCCTTCCCAGTATCCCATCTATCCCTGCCCTCTGGCAGTGAGAAGCCATTCCCTGTGTCCTGTCCTTCCATTCCTTGCCCCAAGTCCCTCTCCAGCTCTCCTGGAGCCCCTTTTTGGGTGGTTTGGGGAGGTTTTGGTGTGTTTGGGGGGTAATTTTGTTGGGGTTTTGGGGTGTTTTTGGGGTGATTCTGGGGTGATTTTGGGGGTGTTTCGGGGGAAGATGAACCCCTCCTGTGTCCCTGCACAATTCCTGGTTCCTGTGCAGCCACAGGGATGGGAGGGAGAGCAGAACAGAGCCAGGATCTGGCCCCCATTCCCTTGTGCAAGGTGGATGGAGGGCAGGAGAGCAGCAGGAAAGCTGCTGGAAACAGCTCCAAGGTTGGGAGAGAGGGAGGAAATCAAACCCCTCACCAGCCACAAGCCTCCCCCATCGCCTGGGGCCCAAATCCGGGGCTGTGGGGAAAGGTGGGGTTGGCAACAGGGGAGGCTTTTGTGGGATTGAGGAGCTTTGGGAGACATTTGAACATTGAAACACAACCCAGCAGAGCCAGGACAGGGATGTGCAGCTTCTCCCGGGCCAAGTCACCCCGGTCCCACCCACAGCCCCTCTCCCCACCCTCCCAAAACCACTTCTGCGCCACTAAATTGTCTCTAATGAGCTCCCATTTCTTCCCAGACGTTGTTTTCCCTCATTAAAGCCATTTGAAAACAGTTGTGAAGCTCTTTAGGCATCATCCCCACGCAAACAGGAGCTGCTGAACCCGCTGCTCGGGGCGGTGATTGCTCTGCGGGGGGGGCTCATTTTCTCCAGGCATTTTGGGTTTAGGGGACACTTGATCAACCCTGGGGCTTTCTGGAAGCATTTCTCGCTGGTTCATTCAGCCCTGCTGGTGGCTGCATCCCAGATTTCGGGGATTTTGAAGGCGGAAAGGGGAAAAACTGCCGAACATCCCAAGTTTTTTAGCCTGGGGGTGCCCAGGTGATGGAGCAGCTTTGGGTTGGGGCTGCAAAACCTGAAGTTGCTCAGCCCAAACCCCCACAAAGTTTGACTCACATCACCAGTAATGGGATTTTGGAGGGTCAAGGGTGGTGTTTGTGATCCGTCTTTGTCCCAAACACCGACAGGTCCTGCAGGAGCAGCCGGATCCAGGTGTCCTGTGGGTCCTTGGTCCCCAGGGATGTGAAGCCCTGGGCTCTGCGGGGCCACTTGCAGCAGCTGGAGGGCTTTGACAGTTGTTTTAAAAAGAATTTCACTCAGCAAAAAGATGTTCCCAGAGCCTTTTACGGGATCAAGACCTTCCAATCAGACTATCAAACCACGTGGGTGTTGAGCTATTTGGTATCTTAGCCTTAATCAGAGGTGACAACAGCCCAAGCACAGCAGCTACAGGGAAGGATTTTCAGTCACAACATTCACTGTGCAAACCCCCAAAAGTTGATCCAAAACCAGAGACAGTCAGGTTTTTATTCAGAGGCCGACTGACACCTTTGCTCAGGGTTCAGCACTTTCACACCAGAATCCAAACTGGATCTTTTGTCGGGGTATCAAACTCAGTACTTGCACTTATGGAGACAGATGAAGAGATGTTGTGTGCATTTATCCTGAATCTTTGTCTTCAGGGAGGACAGTGGGGGGTGAGAGGAACAAAGCACAAACACAAGAAAACAAAATGGCTCTATAAAACAGCCTATGGGGAAAAAAATAGTGCCACGAGTAGAGCTGAATAACCAGCCCGTGCTGAAAACTCTGGGTCCGAACAATAAAAACAGCAAATATTAATTGTGTGCATAATATTGATCCTTTCATCCTATAAAATCCTAAAGCCCCTCACAAGCACTAGGCACGGGAATCCATGGAACTCCACCAGGGACCTGCCAGGACCCCTGGTGTGATAAACTGAGAAAATGATTTGGGCTAATTAAGAGAAAACAGTGTAAGGTCAATATGACCCGGAGAGAGAAAAGAAAAACAAATTGTAAAACTTAATTGGGCCTCTATAAAGAGATAAAACAAGTTACCTCCCTTTTACCTTGTGTAAGATTTATAGTGAAGGAATTTTGTTTAGTTAGCTAGATAATAGCACCTTTCTTAAAAATTTATAACTTTGTATAGATAACAAGCAAACATCTGCTGAATGTCTGACTTAACCATATGTAATGTTTATGCTTATGTATAATTAATATTCGTGGATTAGTTGGAAATAAATGTAGAACAACTGTCTTCTTTGGGTGTGACAGGCGTTGGGAGTTGTTGAACCCCCTCCCTGATCACCCAGCGCTGAAATTGCTTTTATCATATAATAAATTCTAATTGGAAATCACCCGACTGGGTTTCTATTTCTCACGCCCGGGAACACTCAGGAGCTCTCTCCAAGCTGCCGTCAGAGGGAGGGTCTGCAGGGCACGGGCTCGGACCCCCAAAATGAGAGGAGGGGGCCGAGCCCAGCGGGCAGGAGGGGTGGGTTTGCCAGAGCATTCCTGGGATGGGGGAGACCCCCCCACAGCCCCCCTCGTGCCCCTGAGACCTTCCAATCCTTCCCCGCAGACCCCCCGAACGGCCCCGGGGACCCGGAACGGCCCCTCCGGGGGAGCCACGTGCGATCTCCCGCCACACCCCCCGGCCACGCCCCCCATGGGCGGGGCCGCGCCCGCCGCCAACCCTACATGGTGCTGGTGGGCGGGGCCGAGGCTGTGCCGCGCTGGCATTGGCGGGGCGGGGCCGAGGGGGCGTGGCCAGATGGGGGCGTGGCCAGATGGGGCGGGGCGAGACCCGCCGGTTCCCGTCAAAAGGCGGCACCGGGAAGGTGGGGGGGGGGGCGGCGGCGCCGGGAGCGAAGGTACCGGGGAGGGGGCACCGGGAGAGCTGGTCCGGGGCAAACCCCCGCTCCGTGCCCGGTCTCGGCGGCCGCCGTGGCTCGGGCGGTCACCGGGACACGAGGGGCGGCTGTTCCTGCTCGAACCGGGGGGACCTGGGTGGGTGCGGGGGGCACCGGGACCGGGAGATCTGGGTGAGGGGGGCCGTGGGTGCCCCCCCCGTGATCGAGGGGACACGGGCACGGGGCACTCCCGGGTGCCCGCTGTCCTTCTCCCTCCCGGTTGGAGAGTCCCGGGGCGTGCCCCGAGGTTTGGGGGTCCCGGGGAAGGGGTACGGGGGGTGTGCGGGGCTGCCTCGAGGTTTGGGGGTGCCGGGGGAGTGTTGAGCCTCCCCGGTGAGCTCCGTGTGCTCCCTGGTTTGGGGTCCCACGTGGGCGCGGGGTTTTCCCGCTGTTCCCCAGCCGGGTTTTGGGGGTCCTGTGTGTGTGTTTGAGCCCCCCGGTGCTCCGTGTCAGAGGCTCGGGGGTCCCGTGTGATCCCCCCTCCTGCCCACTGCCTCCCCTCGGCTGGAGGCTCTCAGGGCTGTTAAGGGCTTTCCCTGCCAAAAAGGGGGTCCCCAGGAGGGTTGGGGGTGTCTCTGTCCCTCTCAGCCTCTCTGTGGCTTCCGGGGGTGGCTCCTGGTTTTGGGGTCCCCATAGAGCTGTCCGGGCTCAGCTCTGGCCACCCTTTGCTGGGCCCAGAAATGAGGGTTCACCCTGGAGATTTGGGGTGCCCTGGGGTGGGGGGTGAGTGTGTTGGGGGTGCTTTCCTCTCCCCCCTAAATTCTGGCTGGCTTTACCCTTTCCGGGCTGGCTGGTGATTCCCTCTGGGGTCGGGGTGAGGATGAGGATGAACTGGACCCAGTCACACCCCCCACGTGTGAACCCCCATTTCCCCCTCTGAGCCCCTTCCTGAGCATCACCACGTCATGGGAAGCCACCTCTGTCCCCCTCCCCATGTCCCATCCCTGTGTGTCCCCTTTTTGGGGGGCTTTGAAGCTTGTGAATTCCCTGGGTGCTGTTGGGGTGGTAACTGGTGGCTTAGGGTTTCCAGCCTGTTCCTTACCTGCTCTCTGACTCAGAGAAGTGCCCGATTAATGATCAGCTTTTGATGCACGTTAAAATTAACCTCCCAATTCAGTATTTTTTGGGGCAGACTGGGGGGGCTGAGACCCCGCAGTGGCACTAATTGTACTCTGTTTGTAATTCCCCAGTGACTTTCCATCCGTTGGAGGTGGGACTGCCTGGATCAGCGAGTTCCCAGCACAAAGAAGACAAAGGTATGTGGGGGGGTCTTCCTGAAGCTCCTACATGAGGGACCTGGGGGTCCTTCCCTGGGTCAGGACTGAGCCCCCCAACCTTTGGGGAGTTGTGGGGGGCTGGTGAAGGGCAGGTACAGTGGCTGTTTTCTGGGCTGAGCTGCTCCTTCCTCTCGGTTTCCTCCTCCCACCCCCCCTTTTTTTCATTTGAGCCCTTCAGCAGTAAAAGTTTCTTCAGAAAGTGGTTTTCAGGAGAAGCAGCGTTTTTGTGGCGTGTCCTCCTCCCACAGAGCCTGGGCAGTGACTCATCTTCCTCTGAGCCCTGGGTTAAAGGAGCACCAGCCATGTCGGGGACACGTGTGTGTCCTCTCAGGGGAGACAGACAGACAGACAGACAGACACCTCAGTGTCCTGTTCCTCTTCCTCGGTGCTTCCTCCACGCTGCTCTGGGCTCTTGAGGGGCCTCCGTGATGGTTGGGAGGAATTTTTAACCTGCTCTAGGGGGGGGAGGAAGTCGAGGCTGTAATTACTCATTCGAATAAAACCTCTTCTGCCTTCCCTGAAGATGTTAAACCAGAGTTAAACCAGGCCTGGGGGGGGGGGGTTTAAAACCGAGTTCAGTTGGGTCTTCTTGTTGTGCTCGTGGAAGTGGGTTTAACTGGGGGGAGAGAGGGGGGAAAAGGTGCCAGGCTGAGGTTGGGCAGCTCTGTGCTGGCACGGCACGGCTTGGCCAGCCACCCCTGTGGCACCAGGGACCCGAGGAAGAGGAGAGAGGAAGGCCTGGCAGGTGCAGGAAGTCTCTGTCCTGTCTGCCCGGGCTCTCCCAGGGTGTGAACAGATCGCTTGGGGGATCTCCCAGCGGACAAAGGCACAAAAAATAGGTTTTTCACCAGGCAAAGGATGTGCCTCGGGTCGGTTGGGTGTTTGTTTTCCCCCCCTTCCCGCTTAAAATGAAATAACTGGATAATCCAGGCTCTTCCTCCCTTTAATAACTAACCCTGGGCAGGTGCTGCCCCTCGCTCTCCGTGGGCAGAGGTGCCCTCAGCAATAATTTTTAACCTCCTGTGGCTGAGCCAAAGCAGAGCCAGCCCGGCCCAAACTTTCTATGGCTTGGAGAGAGGAAATGCTGGAATGGAGGGAAAAATCCCAGTTAAAGGGGGTCTGTCTTCACCTGCTTGTGTCGAGGGAGCAAACATGGGATGCTTGTCCCCTGTGCTGGGGAGGAGAGGCAGTGGTGTGGACTCACAGCAGTTTTGTAAAGCTTGGGATTAAATAAAACACACACACCCCAAAAAAAGAGAGAAATGCAAATGCAGCCACTGCTTAAAATGAATATTTTGACCTACAATCGACTGCTGAGCATTAAGGTGTTAATTCTGTGTATAAATTAATGTATTTATTAATATAATTAATAAGTTGATATAAAGTATTTATCAATAAATTAATATAAATTTATTTATCAATATAATTAATCAATTTATATAAATTCATCTATTAATATAAATAATAAATTAATATTCATTCCTAGAAATAAATTAATATAAATGAATAAATTAATGTGCTGGTTCTGTGTATAAAATAATATATTTATTGATATAATTGATAAATTAATAAATATTTATTAGTATAATTAATACATTAATATAGATTTATTGATATAATTACTAAATTAATATAAGGTCATAAGAATAATATAAAATAATACAAATTGATACATTAATATAGATTTATTAATATAATTACTAAATTAATATGAGGTCATAAGAATAATATAAAATAATATAAATTAATAAATAAATGTGTTAATTCTGCGTATAAATAATGTGTAAATCCCTGTGGGGAGAATCCCTCTGGTTTGGGCTTTTTGAGTTGTATTTTGGCTCTGGAGGGACAACTGGAGGCCCAGCTGAAAATGGACTTGGAGAAGCTCCTTGTCACAGGTCCCTTCCAGCTGAGCTGTCCTATCTAAACGTGAAAACTCCCTTTTTTTTGGACAAGAGCCGTGTGCTGGTGCCTGGGGGGCAGCCCCAGCTCCTGCTGCCGGGGCCGGTGGAGGGAATGGTTCAAACCAAGGTGTGAGGGGAGCAAAAGTCCGGGGAGCTGGGGAAGGTGGAGACTCTGAGGCTTTAAAGTGGAGCTTCTCGGGGGTGACCCGAGGAAGGAGAAGCCGTGGCTGGGGGGAATGGGCCAGGAGAGCTCAGAGTGGGGCAACAGGGCGTTCCCAGCCCCCCCGACCAGCTTCCAGCTCCATCTCCAGCTGCTGACTCAGCTGCTCCTCAGGTACAGCTCCCTTATCTGGGCTGGTTAACGGCAGAATCAGCACAAACCTCGCCTCGTGCCAGCCGGGCTTTGCCTCTAATTCATGGAAACGGGGTGTAAAAGTGATGAAAAGCAGTACTTGGGACCTTTATCTGTCCACCTGAAGCCGTTTCCTCATTGCCAGGAATCCATGGGGTCTGCCCAGGCCCTGCTGACGTGACTCCTGAGCTCCGCGGGTCACCGGGACGCCGGTGAGTGACTGTCCCGTGCTGGGAGCCCTCGTGCCTCCCTGCCCTTTCTCCCGAGGAGTTTTTGCTGCTTTCCCGAGGGTTCCCACACCAGAGCCCGTGTTCTCCCCGTGCCTTTTCACCCCGTCTGGGAATGCCGTCCCGCTCCCGGCTCCCGTGCAGGTGCTGCCCCGATTTCTCAGTGCCAGGCTGCCCCCCACGCCAGCTCCTGCTTCCTCAGTGCTCCCACTGCTCCTCCCTGCTTGGGCAAGGAGCCTCCCACCATGGGCCAGCACGAGGCAAGGAGGGAGGGGATGGTTTCCTCACCCACCTCGGGTGGGTTCCCCACCCACCAGGTGAGGGACGGGGGCTCTGGGGGGTCTCTTAACCCTTCTGTGCCCTCCCCAGGGCTGGTGCTGGCAGGGAGGGTTCCTCAGAAGTGCTCCTGCTCGGGAGGCAGATAAGCTGCAGTCGGGTCTATATTTAGACTTGCTTAGTTCTGCAGAACGTGCCGTGTCCTTGAGCTCACCTGGGCGTCCCCAGAGGGGACAGCGAGTCCTGGCTGCCACGTGCTGCCCTGGGAAACACCAGCCGGGGAGCGCCTGCCTCCCTCCCCGTGCCCCTTGTGCCCCCTTGGCCTGGAGGTTTGGTTCAGCTCAGTGTTATTTGTCGCCAGGTAAAGAGGTTTTTGTTGTTGTTTCCGTAGCCCGGCTTAGGCTGAGTGTGAAGTTGCTGCCCAGTTCCCAGTCCTGAGCTTAAATGTCTGGTTTGGGAGTTCTTCCCTGAGGAGGAGAGCCCTCCTCAACACAGTTCTCCTGGCGTGTTGCTTTCCTTCCCTGTTTTCTCCTGGCACTGTGGTGCAGGCAGCTCCTGTCCCCACCTCTGCCTGTGCTCCAAGGAGAGTCCACCCCTTCCTGAGGTTCTGCACTGCCTGCTTGGACACTCAGGGAGTTCCATGGCCTGGTCAGTGTTGGACAGAGGAGGAGAAACCTGGGTTTGTGTTCTGCTGCTGCCTAGGTGGCCTCTAGCACCATCCTCCTTGTTGCACGTAAAGGACAGGGCACAAAAATTGATGTTTTGGCCCTGTTTGATGCTTGAACTATGAACTCTCAGGGTGGGCCTGGGGTCTGTACCAGGCCCTTGCACACCCAGGGGCTCCTGCGGTGCCAGAAATGTTTCCTGCTGCTCATTTCACCTGTCACAGGTGGTGGAACTTCAAACCACTGAAGGCTCTTGTGACAAAGTGTCTGTGGCTGGTGGTGTGACCTCGGCTGCACGAACTTAAGGGAGAGGATGAGGTGGGATCTGAGGGATTTGGGTGCCCAAATCCAAGGGTGATGCGAGACCCACTGGTAGGAAGGGGTGAGCAGCTCAGGGCTGGTGCTTTGCAGCCTCCTCTGCTCGCAGACCCCTGAGTCAGAGCACGGAAAACACCTTTTCTGTGTCTTCCTGCAGCCCAGGCTGAGCACTGTGTGCTCCAGGGCTGGAGTGGGATTGCTCCAGGGCTGGAGTGGGATTGCTCCAGGGCTGGAGTGGGATTGCTCCAGCTCACTCCTGGCAAGGAGAAAAGCAGAATTACCCGGCAATTTCTCGGGAGAGAGGAACCACTTTAAACCCTGTGCTCACCCACTCGCTTCCTCAAGCAGCAGGAAAATTGCCAGGGAAGGAACAGGGCAGGGCATGGCTCTGCCTCGCTGTCACGTGCCCTGCCTGGGCCCAGCTCCCCATTTACCTGTCAGCTTGTCCAGACAGGTGGGAGAAGTAGAGACCTGGGAGCCAACTCCTCCTCGTCCCACTCCTGGGACAGGGAATTGCCCTCCTGCCCTGGGAGAGCAGCCCAGGGGCTCAGCAGGGCTCAGCCTGGGCAGTCTGGCCCTTCTTTGGGGTCCCTGATCTGCAGCAACAGGGCTGTGGTTCTGCCCCAAAACCTCGAGGAAAAGCAGCAGTTAATGGGAAGGTTTAACACTCACTGGGATTGTTTTACCTTCCACCTCCCTGGTGAGGGGTGACACAGGGATGTCCTCTTGGTTTGGTCTGACTTCTGGGTTTTCTCCTTGCTCTTTTTTTTTTTCCCCCCTCCTTCTGGCTCGGGGGCTCTCTGTTAATCCCTGGCTGCTGCATTTCTAGTTGTCCTTTAATCAGCTGATAAAGATCTGCTGGAAAATCGCTGCTGGTGGCTCTTAAGGAGGCTGGAATTGCTTGGGAAAGCTTGGGCTGGAGGGAGGTGTTGGGGGGAAAGGTGGGAGGCAGAAAGCAAAGAATTAATGCAAGTAATGAATGAGAGGGTGTCACTGCACCGAGCTGAGCAACCAGAGCTTGTGCCCAAGGCAGGGATTGTCTCTGAGGAGCTGGGAGTCATCTCATCCCTGGGGATGTTCACCTGCAAATACTCCTGGCTCTGGGATAACCTTGGAGATGACATGACTCGGGGGGGGGGTTTCCCTCCTAAATTGGGAATATCCCACTGTGAGGCTCCTGCTCTGTCTCTTCAGTGAAAGTGGGTCCTGGATACACTGATTTTTGAGTCCAACCTTGCCCAAAATCTGCTCATGCTGTAACTTCCCACTGGAACACAGGAGTGAGACTTCCAGTCCTGTCGTGCCAGATTTTGGGAGCTGGTTTTTTTTACCCTCAATAAGAGTCTTGCAATGCCACTTCTTGTTTGCTGTAGTGCCAAATTCCTGAGAAATCTGTTGGTGGGGAAGCCTCCTGCCTTTATCTAGGCCTTGCAACAAGGGCTGGTCAAGGCTTGTGTGTCTGTGGTGTTGGTTTAGGGTGACTAATCCATCACAAATCAACCTCTCTCCGTCTCTTCCTGCTGCTCCAACTGCAGCTTTCTCCATGTCAGGATTTCCCCACCCTCAGAAATAAAATGTCTTACAACTAATTAAGAAATAACTGAGTGGAAATGCTGTAGCTGGAGCGGCCAAATAGATGCAAGGGACTTAAAAAAGTGAGGTGGGTTTGGGAGTAGCTTGGACACCCTGCAGCAAACATCTCCCCACAGTCTGCTCCCAGCACGGCTCAGCCAAAGCCATCAGGGCTCTGTTTCTGGGAATGTTGTCCCTCTATCACCTGGAATCCTCGTAAATGGGTTTATTGTGTCAAAGGCCACTGGAGCAGGTCGGCAGCCTCAGAAGGGCCCTATCTCTGAGCCTCTCGTTGATCTTTCCCACGTCCGTCGGGACTTTGTGAATCCCAAGACCTTGAATCCTGGACTCTGGGCTGGTTCCTTGCACAGAGAGGAGCTGGAATATCCCGAGTTGAGAGGGGAACCACGAGGATCATCCAGTCCAGCTCTGACCCCAAAAGCCCACCGGGTGTTTTCCAAACCCTCCCGGAGCTCTGGCAGCCTTGGGGCTGTGCCCACTGCCCTGGGGAGCCTGGTCAGTGCCCACCCACCCTCTGGGGGAAGAACCTTCCCCTAAAATCCAACCTCAACCTCCCCTGGCACAGCTTCACGTTGTTCCCTTGGGTCCTGTCGCTGCAATATCAGATAGTCCTGACATCCAGGTGCTGCTGGAGAGCCTGGCCTGGCTTAACACGTGCTTTAGGCAAGGTTTAAATTCCCCTCCTCAGCCAAGTCCCAGTTCCTCTCCCAAATCCGGGGCACGCCTTCAGATTGCTGTGTCTAGGGCTGCTTCTGTAGCATTTTGCAGCTTAATCAGCTGGAGTTTTCCCCTCCCATCTCCAGCAAAAAGCCCAGGGTGGGCTGGAGGTGCTGAATGAACTGGTTTCAGTGTTCAGGTTGCTGGGGGTTGTGTGCTCCCGGCGTGGTTTCCTCTCTGGAGGGCGACAGAGCGAGAACCTGTTTGCAAATGTTTTCGAAATAGGGGAGAAGCTCTGAAGGAGTGTGGTATTTCCCACATGTAGGGACAGCTCCCTTCTGTCGGCCTTTCCTGGATTTTTTGGAATAGGAGAGGAAAGGACTCCTTGGGTGCCCTTACCTTGGAATTGGTGATTGGGAAACAGAGGCACGGGCGAAGCCCGGGAGCGATTTGGAGCCAGAGGAGGGGACGGTGGAAACCTGGGAAGGGCTCAGGTGACCCCAAATGTCACAGGGGGGGCATCTGTGGAAACAATTGCTGCTCTGGCTTCGTTGGGGCAGAGTTTTCCCTCTGCCCTGTCCTTGCAGTGCCCTGCAATTAGCTGGGTGCAGTGGTGGTGTTCCTGGGAGGCAGAACGACGGGGATATCAGCCTGGGAATCGTGTTGACTAAGCTAAAGGTGGAGTTTCCATTGGAAATATTAGCTTGGAGCAATAACTCCTGGTGATAAGAAGTGAAAATGAGGGAGAGGGGGACAGCTCTCACGTGCTGCTCCTGTCTGCAGCTAAAATTGAAGGGGTGGGAGAGGCAGAGACAGCAGAGGAGTTGTCAGATCCTGCACACAGCAGCTGGTGGGGGTTTGGTGCAGAAGCTGGAAATGCCCCCGTGCCCGGCCAGCTCTGCCATCCCTCCTGGTCGCTGTCCTGGAGCCCTCTGAGTTCAGGCACAGACCCTGCACGTGGAATTCCTGGTCTTTAAGTTCCAATCCAACCTCAGTGGGCAAAGGCAGCTCTGGCTGTGGCTGCAGGGAGCGGGGATGTGCTGGGAAATGAGCGTCCACTGCGTCCACGTGAGGAACAAACAGAGCAGCAGCTCCTCCTCAAGTGCCTTTGGTAGCTCCAGACTTGCTTTTCATTTTCTCTGGGATGTTTTTCGTTGGTAGGTCCCAGAAGCAGCTTAGTCAGGGCCCTGTGGGTGAGGCTCAGGCTGAGCTGCCCCAGCCTGTGGGAAGTCATAAAACATGGAAAAAAACCCTCAGGGGGGCAAACTCTTTCTGTACTTTGTCCCTCCTTCTCTCCTGAGCTAATGAACACTCAGGGCAGGGTCAGTGCTGGCTGAGAGCATGAGCAGTGTCTCCCAGAGCAGCTCTCAGGGAGCTCTCTGCAGCGTCCCCTTCCTGCTCCAGAAACGTAAAATTGTAAATATTAAAGCTTAATATCAAATATTAAGGCTGGAAAAGCCCTCTGAGATCATTGAG